AACCTGCTCTTCTCACTTCATGCCAGATTATCAAGAGGTTTGGTTTGCTGAAGCATGAGGGGTTGAGAGGCTCCTAACTTCGGCTGTGCTGTGAACATTAGAAGTCTTTCCCAGGATTCACTGGCTTCCAGACCAACCCTGACAGCACCCACACAAGGCAGCGGACAGACAGATGTCCTTCTGGACACCTGCGTCCCCCTCTCTTGTTCTATGCTCTGGGATAACTTATGGCATAAATTTATGTTCAAGTATTGAAATTCTCTGAATTTAAAGAATGCAAAAGGCACTCACTCACCAGCATGGCGTGCCCTGCGCCTTCCTAGACAGCGTGACATGAAAATACATCTCCCTCCTGCCTCGATAAATCCCCCAGGCTGATGAGGCTGGCTGCTGGGGGTACTGCAGGTCTGAGCCCAGCTGCCCCCCAGGCTTAGCTGGCCCAGGCACTGGCAGGCTGGCAGCCCTGAGCCCCGACGGTTGGCACCACCCGGCCTGAACACCGACAGGGGCATGAACAAGCCCCTGAGCCCACCCCAAGTCCCTGCTCCTCTGCGGCCCCATGTCACGTCTGCGCTGGGAGCCCCGCCAGAGCGGCCACCCATGACATTGGCCCCGGTGCAGGGAAGACGAAGCCGTTCAAACACGTCAGCGAGGGGAAGGTGAACTGGTACAGAGCTAAAGGCACCTGCAGCCGAGAGAGTTGGGCTTCTCCCCCATCACCTCTCCATCTCTCCGCCATCACCTCACAGGAGCGAGGTGCTCCTACGCCAGGTGAGTCACCCCCGACCCCACAAGCAGAGACGCCTTAGCTGGGAATTGGGGGCACCAGCACAACCTTGGGAGAGAGCTGCCAGCACTGCTAAAGCCTCGCGTCCGCTCTAGATCAGCCACCTACAGCGATGCTACCTAACCCGATCCTGAGTCAGCCAAGTTGTCCTTCTTCCACCTATAGATGCTGTTTCCAACAAAAAGAAAGAAAAGCTGTAGGAACTCTTCCCAGTTTGTCCACGGAGACCATCAGACCCTGGTGCCCACAGCTACGTGCCGTCCTCCAGAAGCAACAGCAGTAGATGCCTCCTGGGTGCGCAAGCCCACACTGCCCAAGGGGCAGTGACAGAGAAGGGGGACCACTACCAACGGTGCTTCACATCAGCTCTCCCGGGCTCTCTCCCAGTCTTTATCACCCAACCTGCAGATCAGCCCCACCCTGCGTATCTTCCAGTTATGCTGCCTTTGGACTGGAGGAAAGCTCTGGGTCCAGCAGGACCAGACTCCTGTACAGTCCAACTCAGAAAAGAGATTTGGCTGGGCAGCTGGCCAGACACAAATATCAAGAAAAATCAGATGCTTGTTGAGATGCAATTAAATTAATAAAGAAACCAAATCATATGGGAAGACAAAACGTCCCAGGATCAACCCATGAATCATGGGCAGCCTCTGTGCAACTACAGTGGAAAGTATTGCCGTAACTGGGCAGGGGAAAGCTTCCACTCTGCATTTCGTGTCACGTGCAGAAGATACACCCAATTTTGATATGCGTAGAAGCAAATTTCATTTCCTTCCTATATTCAAGACTGTAAGATTCATTCATTTTTTGTCTTGCTGACTTGTGTGATATCCCCCAAAGTTCCCCCTTTGTAAACCACACACGAAGTACGCAGCTTCCCAGCAGCCTTCAGCCAGGCTCATGCCAAGAGCCAGGCGAGCTGCTACACTGGTACATTTTAAAATTTGGCTATTTATATTCTGCGTGAGCTTCCTCTTTCCTACCGCTGCTTCTCCAAGATGCTGATTGTGCATTCCGCACACGTTGGTTAAAAACCAACGAAGCAAAAAACAGCAGCAGGACGGAGCCAGTGAAGCCTCACTCCAACACCTGCACCAAACGCACATTTCTCCCTTTGCAGATGAGGGGCGGGAGCAGGGCTGGGAGAGACACAAAACCTTGAACTGTGGCTTTATGTATGTGCTGGCCACCAAGAACTCTGCAATCCTAAGTCTGGCACTCACACCAGTTCCTTCCAGGACTTCCAGTGAGTCAACCAAAGATGAACGTCTTCAACCAAAGATGAACGTCTCCCTCTTGGGAGTAGGACTTGATGATCCTTATGGGTCCCTTCCAACTTGAGATGTTCTATGATTCTATGAAAATAGTCTCAAAAGAGCTTTGACAGACAAGTGCTGGTAAATATTGCTGCAACAGCTACTGCTCCCTGTTGCCTGCCTTACACATCTGCGGGAGTTTCTGACCATCACAGCAGAAGGGAATAAGAGTTGAGCCTCAGCCAGTACAACCACAGCCCAGCACCCATGTGCAAACCCTCCTGCACCAGCGGTTCAACCTAAACAACTGAGCACCACACCGCGGCAGAGATACAGGTGAACATCCCTTCTGCTTACTGCATCGCGTTGGTAGAAGAGACGCGGCCAACAAGCCCAGACAGCGCTTTACACGGCTGCCACAAGATTCAGCAAAGCTCTTCTGTGAAAGCACTAACTTTGAGCACATTGATGGTTACGGCATTTGCACCTCCCACCAAACTCTCGTGGAAGGGACTCAGTACCCTCATCTCAGAAAGCGAGATCCAATGTATTTCAAATTAGGCACCAAAAAGGGAAAGACACAGAAAATGAACATTTGACCATGATTTCTCCAGCTCAGTGTGCAGTCCTGCTCCTCTCCATGCAGCAGGAAAAAGGCCTCCCGATGGAGGGACACAAGGAAAAACCACACGTTTAACTTAGGGGTATCAGACGCCCAGTTCTGCAGAGTCGGAGGCTTTTGCAAAAGCAGCCGTAAGTGAACTGTGCAGGAGTTCGTCCCCTGAAATATGAAACTGGAGGTCTGCACCAGATGGCTTGCCTGGTTTTAGAGACCGCCTCTTCCAACTGCAGATAGCCCTGGGCTGCGTGAGCAACGAGCTCCCCACCGATAGTTCAAAGTGTTTGTGACTACACCAGGGAGGAATTCCTGCTCCGTGCAATAAACTCTTCCACTCTCTGGTGAATGTTCTAGTACACGGCACGGCGCCGAACCCCACGTCTTCACACGGAGGTTTAATAATGAGCTCTAAGACGTAGCCAAGGTTCGCGAGCCTGGAGGAAGGGCTGCGGCATGAGGGACCCTTGCAGGAGCCAGGCAGAGAGCAGCAGGGATCGTCTCTTCTCATCGGCTGAAGGGAGGGGAAAATGCAAACAGCAAAGCAAAATATTGGCTAGGGATCTGCATTTTAGAAAGTGTTTGAGATCAGTCACAAAGATGGTTTCGGTAAGACAGGAGCAAAGTACAGGATTAAGTGTGAGCATGACAGCATCCCCGCATGTTACACACAGACAATTATCCAACAATTACCAGGTCTTAAGAGCTCTGGTCCCACATGCCCCTGGGTTAGCACATTGGCCTCCAAAGACACAAAATAATGAACTCTTATTGGAAAAAGATATTAATTTCAGCACACGTGGAAGAGGCAAAACTGCTTAAAGTGCTTTTACTGATGCTCCCTGGACAACAGCTGGTTTAAAGATCAAGATGTTCGTGTTACTCTGTTCCCTTTCAGCTGGGCTACA